ATAAATAAAGAGAATCTTTAACAAAAAAATGGGTGGTTCGCATTTCCCACTCTGCTTTAAAAAAAAAAAAGAAAGATATAAAATGATCTTAGGGCACTAATGATAGTGTGAAGCTGGGGTTCCTGTTACATGAGAAAAGTACACCCCTATCACTTGGGTTTTCAGTTACATATAGCTGATCACAATCCTAACCAGTATTAGTTTGCCGTTACTCTTCTTCAGCATGTTAGTAAAAATCCTAATGCATATGGCAAAGTAAGAAAAAAAAAGAATAAGGATTTGAAAGAAAGAAACAGCCTACATTCCAATGGTGCAGTAAAAAAGATTATATCAAAGGTAGCAAAATGTTAACAACTGGTGAATCTACATCAGAGTATTCAGCCTTGAAATTTTTCTTTTTTTTTTTTAAGATTTTTATTTATTTATTGAGAGAGAATGGTAGAGAGAGAGCATGAGAGGGAAGAAGGTCAGAGGGAGAAGCAGACTCCCTGCTGAGCAGGGAGCCCGATGCGGGACTCGATCCTGGAACTCCAGGATCATGACCTGAGCCGAAGGCAGTTGCTTAACCAACTGAGCCACCCAGGCACCCCTCAGCCTTGAAATTTTTCAAAATAAATATTTACGGCAAAAAATACTGATGAGCAAAACAATGAATTTTGTGACAACATATACCATAAACAAAGGGAAAAGACAAGCCAAATTATCAGTAAAGGATCAGAAAAAGATTAGCTTCCAGAATACATGAAGAACTTTTACATATTCTACAAGTCAATAAGAAAGACAAGCAATCCAACAGAAAAACAAGCAGATGACAGGGACAACACATTCATGGAAAATGAAACCCATTATGCCCAATAAACAGATAGAAAGATACCCAGTGTACTAATCAAGAAAATGCAAATTGAAACAAAAAATACAGCACTTCACACCCATCATGTCGGCAAATTCCTTTAAGCTTGAGCACAGAGGTATTGACACAAATAAACCGAGAGGAACTCTCAACCAGCAAGAGAAGTTTAACAGGTTCGACACTGTCAAGTACACTTTGACAACACCTAACAGTTAAAGAGGCGCACCATACTCAGCAATGCCCTTCTTTTTTTTTTTTTAAGATTTTATTTATTTATTTGAGAGAGAGAGAATGAGAGATAGAGAGCATGAGAAGGAAGAGGGTCAGAGAGAGAAGCAGACTCCCTGACAAGCGGGGAGCCCGATGCGGGACTCGATGCCGGGACTCGAGGATCATGACCTGAGCCGAAGATAGTCGCTTAACCAACTGAGCCACCCAGGCGCCCTCAGCAATGCCCTTCTTAGTTATAATCCCTGAAGCAGCAGCAAGTCCGTGAGATCAAGATCGTGAGATCGAGACTCTTTACATAGTAACACCAGAACATCATTTGCCTTTTTCATCCTCACTCTCTCATGAGTGTTCAGTGAAGTTTTCCAGAGGCTCATGGTATATGTCACAGCCAGATAACTGCAGAAGCAGATACTAGAATCCAGCTCTCTTCTATTAATTCAGATATTAAAGAGATTTTCAAAAATGTAAAAGCAGTGCCACTCTTCTATTTTTTCTATTTTGGAAAGTGTAATTATTTTTCATAAAAATGTTATTTATAACACATAGCGGGTTTATTATTGTGATTTTTTTAAAAAAATAAGTATTTTAAGCATATCTCATACAATAAATATTGATAGTTATAAATCACATAAAAGCTCTTTGGGGTCCTCAGTCATATTTTCAGAGTGTAAAGAGGCCCTTAGACCAAAATGTTTGAGAACCACTGCCCTGGAGAAACTATCACACGTGTATACCAGGAGACATATACAAGAATCTTCCTTGCAACACCGTAATGGCAAAGAACTGTCCATCAGAAGGAAAAAATGATAGAGCATGTATAAAATAACTATATAGCCATTTAAAGAAATGAACTAGGGTGCCTGGATGGCTCAGTAAGTTAAGTGGTTAAGCGTCTGCCTGCCTTCCATTCAGGTCGTGATCCTGGGGTCCAGGTATTGAGTCCCACATCAGGCTCCCTGCTCTGCAGGAAGCCGGCTTCTCCCTCTTCCTCTGCCTCTCTCTCTCTGTCTCTCATGAATAAATAAAATCTTTTTTTTTTAAGATTTTATTTATTTATTTGACAGAGAGAGACACAGAGAGAGAGGGAACACAAGGCAGACGCTTAACAACTGAGCACCCAGGCGCTCTATTTTTTTTTTAAGATTTTTATTTATTTGAGAGAGAGAGAGAGACAGAGAGAGTATAAACAGGGGGAGAGGCAGATAGAGAGGGAGAAGAAGACTCCCTGCTGAGCTGGGAGCCCGACATGGGGCTCGATCCCAGGACCTGGAGATCATGACCTGAGCTGAAAGCAGACTCTTAACCATCTGAGCCACCCAGGCATTGTGCTTTTTAAATTTGTGAGATTTGGCCATTTGATATAGGTAATGCTAGTTCATTTCTTTATTTTTTATTTTATTTTTTAAAGATTTTATTTATTTAGGGATGCCTGGGTGGCTCAGTCATTAAGCATCTGCCTTTTGCTCAGGTCATGATCCCAGGGTCCTGGGATCAAGTCCCACATCAGGCTCCCTCCTCAGGAGGAAGCCTGCTCCCCCCCGTCCCGCCCCGCTTGTGTTCCTGCTCTCGCTATCTGTCTCTGTCAAATAAATAAATAAAATCTTTAAAAAAAATAAAAAATAAAAAATAAATAAAATAAAAAGCAAAATGCTGAAGGATATATACAATATACCATGCATCTAGTTTTAAAACATATAAAATCATAGTAGTATGTATGATTATTGATATATATATATACACACAGAAAAAGTAAAAAATAAAAACACATGGGAATGATAAAAGCAAAAACTGGGGCACGTGGCTGGCTCAGTTGGTACAGCATGCTTCTCTTGGTCTCGGGTCATGAGTTCAAGCCCCATATTAGGCACAGAGCTTACTTAAAAAAAAAAAAAAAAGCAAAAATCATTGCAGAGGTTACCTCTATGGAGGTGGGAAGAGAAATAGCATGAAGGATACACAGGAGCCTTCAATTATATGTGGAATGTTAGTAGAAACACAGGTATTCATTATATTATTTCCTATAATTTTTTGTATGATTGCAATACATCATAAGTAAAGATTAAGAATGCTGAATAGATACTGGGTGTTAGGAGGGGGAAGACACCATTGGACCAAATGAAGGACTGCAAATTAAGGGTGACTCAGGTTTGATTTAGGTCTCAACTCTAGAAAACTGGAAGAATATCAATGCATTAGCTCAAATTTAGGAAGTCGGGATGAAGAAATAGTTTGGGGGTGTGCCTGGGTGACTCAGTCCTTAAGCATCTGCCTTCGGCTCAGGTCCTGATGGTCCTGGGATCGAGCCCTACATCCGGCTCCCTGCTCAGCGGGAAGCCTGCTTCTCCCTCTCCCACTCCCCCTGTTTGTGTTCCCTCTCTTGCTGTCTCTCTGTCAAATAAATAAATAAAATCTTAAAAAAAAAATAGTTTGGGAAAAGGTAAGGTGGTGGGATTTAGACATGCTACCAGGAGAAGCAGAAATGATAAAATTATTAGAGAGTTGTAAATTTAAAGATGGTGTCTGGGAGCTGCCAGGGCCAGAGATACAGATTTGGAACTCACTGAATAAAGATGGAAGATTTGAGAATAGATGAGATCATCAAAAAAGGTGATACAGGAAGATGAGGGTATGGAGAAGCTTACCCAGAGAGAGCAGAGGAGAGGGCTTGGGGAACAGACACAGAGGGCCACGGCGGAGAAGACAGAAGAGAGGCTAGAGGAAGATGGCAGTATGTTCTCACAGAAAGGTCAGAGAAGGAATCAGAGTCAGACAAGAGAATATTCGAAGAAAGAAGGTATAAAAAAAGTTCAAAGAGAATAAGGAATGTACTAGGTCACTGGATTATATTCATATAATTTCAGTGTGCCAATTTTAGGAAGCCAATATTGATTAATCCCAACCCTTTCTGACCACTCCTCTTTCATCCATTCATTCCAACAAAAGCTGATTGAGTATCTTGTATGTGGACACTAAGGATACAATGATCGTCTCTGTCTTCATGGTCCTAAGATCACAGAAGAGAAAGACTAATCAATTACTAACAATGATGAATGTAAAATCACAACTACAATGAATGCTATCAATGGGAGTACTTGGAACTCAAAGATTGCATAATTAGGGAATTGTTAACTCCTTCCTCCTTTCAGCAGTGTATATTGTGCCTTCCTGAACAGACTCTAAGCCCAAGAGGGCATACTTTTTTATACTCTTATACTGTTGATTTTCTTTTGATATCTTCTCCAAGTGCTCAGCATAATGCTTCAAAATAATGGGTATTTAGTATATGCTTACTTACACATCTGTAATGGGATGCATCAGATTTTGTAATAAACACATCCTATTGTACGGAAGAGCTATGACATTTTTTAATAACCTGCTACGGGTGTTAAAGCGGCCAAAAGCAAAGTGTAAGCCTTGAAAAGGTTAGCTTGGTGTTCTCTACCTGTATCTCAAGCAATTACCTTGAGACTGCTTAGGATTATTCTCCAAGAGGGAGCTAGTAAAATCATGGAAAGATTGGCACAAAACATTCTCACCTCTAGAGAGACAACTCGAAATGTACACTCTACCAACAGTAAGCCAGTGCTATAATGTTACTTTTGCAAATAAAAAGCAAAACATTCATTGTAAGGCAATTGGTCCTGACAAGAAAAACAGAGTTCAGGGGCGCCTGGGTGGCTCAGTCGGTTAAGCGGCTGCCTTTGGCTCAGGTCATGATCCCAGGGTCCTGGGATCGAGCCCCACGTCAGGCTCCCTGCTCAGCGGAGAGCATGTTTCTTCCTCTACCTCTCCCTGCTGTTCTGCCTACTTGCGCTCTCTCTCTCTCTGTGTCAAATAAATAAATAAAATCTTTAAAAAAAAAAAAAGAAAGAAAAACAGAGTTCAGGGGTATTCAAGAAGCAGCCCCACAACTACTTACATCACGAAACTGAACCTTTCCCAGTTCTCCTAATTCACTGACGCAACAATAAGCAGCTTCTGACTGTAGAAAAAGCTGGGCCAGCGTCATCTCCTCACTCCGGAAAAGCTCCCCCATGGTAGCAGAAAGTGCCAGTCAACAGAGCACCTGGGTTTCTCTCCAACCTAAAGCAAAAAGAGAAAACTGCATTACCAAAAGAGCTAAGAGCAAACACCACAATAGTAAGGCTCTTTTGTTTTGCATTTCACATCTTCCATCCCTTGCAGACAGACCTTTAACATCCTGTTTAGAAGGATAGAAAGGAGAAATTGCAAAAGGCTGTTACTAAATCCTCTCCCACAGAGTACCTGATGAAAAGCCACTTCCTTCACAGTCAACATCAGGATCAAATGACAATATATTGGGGCTCAATACATAAGAATGTATCCAGTTAAAAACAGGAACTGGGATTCGCAAACAGCTCTTTAAATACCCTGGACAGGGTATTATGAGGCAGTGACATTCACACTGCCTGACCTTTTTTTGGCTTGTGTCAGGAAACACACGGAAGAGACCTAGATTACCCTCTCATAAAGGATATCTCCGTGGAAACTAGTTTTCTACTCTCTACTGCCCATTTCTAACTGTTGGAGTCCCAGCACTACGCTACAGCTATGGGTACCTTAAAGGGTTTAACCTTCCGTCTCCTCAGGAAACACCATTTTCTCCCTAAGGAATCTAAACACATCAGCATTATCTCAAAAAACGGGGAGGGGGGGGTAACACCTGGCTGGTTCAGTCAGTACGGCATGTGACTCTTGATCTCAGGGTCATGAGTTCAAGCCCCAAGTTGGGTGTGGAGCCTACTTAAAAAAAAAAAAAAAAAAAAAGGAGCCAGCTTGCAAATTAAGCTCAATTTCAAGTCCAGTACGACAGAAATACATTGATAATGACAAAGCAGTTTTATCAAATCACAGAGAATAAGCTTGCCACCTCCGTAGCTTTCAATTTCTTATCCCCACCTTCAAGATTAATTACATTCTTCCATCTGTTAAAGCTTCTCATGCATGAGCCAATAAAGGTTCCCTTTTAGGGCTGTCTTATCCTTGCCCGGTATGAAAGACAATGGCGCTATCAGTGGTCCTGAAACTGCAATTATTTATTCTCAATCAGCTATTGTAAGGCACAGACTGTACCCTATCTGAACTCAGCAAACCGTACAGTATTTTTAGTATCATGAGGGCACCCATAATGATAGGTGAAACTGGCATCAAAGGAAGAGTTACTGTTCTGCAAGGCTGGAAGACATTTTGAGAAATCTGAATGAGAAAACCTTTGTGCATTTGATGTTCAAGGCAGCAAAATAACACACTCAGATATAAGCAAAGATTTCTCAAGAGATTATGTAGTCTGCCTTTAAAATTGTCTATACCTGAATCACCCAAAACAGCTGTTATCAACCCTCCCACACCTTCCCCCAAAGAAGAATAGATTCCACAACCTCTAACGCAGGTAAAATTATGCCTGATCAGCACAGTTCAGGGCTGCCAGTAATAACAGCCTCCAGAGTTGCCTCCCTCCTTCTGTTCTTTAATGATTACAAGTCTCCTAGAACATCTCTATCCCACTGGAGCCAAACAGAAAACTAAACAGGCCAAAGCGATTCGGGGATGAGAGGATGTCACAAAACAAAATATGAAGAAACAGTAATTCTGCACAAGATGAGTACAAATAAAGTGCCCGGCGTCCAGCCTCACTATGGTCATCCAGTCCTCGCCTCCTACGAGGTATTCAAACTCATCTGCTTCATTTCCTGTCTACCCAGTGAGAAAGCAGGAATTCTTTGAGCCCAGGCACACCTACCTCCCGAAGTGGCGACTAAAGGGGGGAGGGGGGAGGGATCATCAAATTGGGAGCCCCTTTAAGAAGCCCCCAAATTCTTCTGCCTACCCAATAACCTTCTGTTCCTCCGCCTACGCCTTCAATGGGGGAAGGGCTGAGGGCCTCCAAAGAGGAGTGAACCTCCGATTCCTCTGCCCACAGGAGGGGTGCCCGAAGAGGGGCGAACCCCCATTTCCTCTCAGACACCTAAGATCTCTGCTAATTCCTTTGACAAGCGAGGAGGCTATTAGAAGGATTTCCCATGCCCTTCCGAGGCCTCTCCCTGCCGCACTGTACCTACATGCCCCGCTCACCTTCAGCCCCCAGCCGGGCCGCAGCCAAAGCAGCCGCCCAAGACCAAGCCCGCAGCCTCAGCTGCTCGGGACATCAGCGCTCGACGTGCGTGCGTCCGCAAAGCCCTGCCCCCGCGCAGCCGCCGGCTCCGCCCCCAAGATGACCTCATTGCAGTCAGCCAATGGGGTGAGGCCTGGGTTAGCTGCCGCACTGCAGAGTCGCGGGGGCGCGGGCAAGACCGTGGGTGTTGACGCCATTTTGTTCCCGCGGCTGTGTCTCCAGCCTGATGGGACCGGGCTGTCTGACGGGATGCTGGTGCCGGTGCTTCAGGACCTCAGCCCGTATTCTCTTCATAATCCCTTCTCCCTAACGCCCTCGAGGCTGGGCTGTCTGCTTGCTTTTCTTTTCATATCCAAAAAATTCACTTTTTTTCCACGAGGAAAGTAACATCAAGGAAGGGGAGACATTATGAAATGACCTGAAAGCTGGAGAGCTTATTAAAAGCGCTTACAGTCCAGTCTCCTCTACGTTACACACGCACCCTTTTTCCTTATTTTACAGAACATTTAAGCCCCAGAGTGAGCAACGCCTAAGATCCGTAGTAGAGCCTCGAACAGGGAGGGGCTCGTTCACTTAAGTATGGAAAAGCCCTTTTTAGAAAGGTACTGGGTTAAGTCCCTCTGGCAAGGGTTCAGTGTCTAGTTTTCTCTAATTAGTGGGAAAAATCCCCATAAGACCCTATGTTGTGACAGTAAATTTTTATCTTGTTGGGTGGATTCCTGCAGGCCCATTTGACCATGTAAGGGTTTTCTATTGCTCAAAAATTTTAAAAGAATAACAAGTTTTTTAAAACGCAAAAGTGGGGCACCTGGGTGGCTAACTCGATTAAGCATCTGCCTTCAGCTAGGATCTTGAGCCCAGGGCCCAGGGATAGAGCCCCATGTTGGGCTCCCTGCTCAGCAGGTAGCCTGCTTCTCCCTCTGCCTCTGTCCCTTCCCCTGTTTGTGTGCTCTCTCTCTCTCTCAAATAAAATCTTAAAAAAAAAAAACTGCAAAAGTGATGCTGATGTGGGAAACAAAGGCAAAAGAAAAATTAAATTTCCTTACTATCTACAGCCCACTGACAAGTCCCTGAGACAGAGTAACATTCCTTTAGGAACTCAGCTGCCTCGATGTTAATACCTTGCTAAGGGCAAAAGGCAATCTTAGCCCGACCCCCAGGATCCTGTAAGTCTACCTTAACATATAAAAATTCCTTTGGAAACCTCCTTTATCTCTACCCCCCGAGATACTTGTTGGCAATCATCCCCCAAGCATATGACCCACCGATATACATCTGAAGGGTCTCATGACTAAGGTTTTATTAGACAGTACTAAATGACCCTTTCCTAACAATAACTAGCCCCTTCAAGTTCCTGGAAACTTCCTTCCAAATTCCTTAAAGACTTAACGCTATCCCTAACCCTCAACTTGAAAGTAAATAATGGGCCACTCCTCATGACCCAGTGCAGCTCTTTCTGCCCACAGGTCCTGTCCCCGTGCTTTAATAAAACTGCCTTTTTGCACCAAAGACGTCTCAAGAATTCTTTCTTGAGCATCAGCTCCAAACACTAACATTTCCTACATCAGTGCTACCTACTATTTATAAAAACGCCTTTCTCAAATACTGGTATCAACTTCCTAAGGAGGAGTAAGGATCCCAAATCGTTTGTAGTACCCAGAGCTGTGTCAAGAAAAACTCGGAAAACCGGTCTTTCAGGCTCTCTGGGTGGTGGAACCCTATTGAGATTCAAGGGTAATGAGGGAGATGCTTCAGATAAAAACCTGACGCTGATAATTTTGTCTACCTGGCAAAAATCATCATCAATGCTGCTTTACCAGTGTAAACGAAAAATGAAGGCAAAAATGGACGTTTTATTTAAATTTTCTATCTCCTATTGTGAGTGAAGATATAATTTGATCCCATTATGATTTAGTTGAGAAGCAACACCTTGGAGAAGCTCAAATCCTCCCCTTTCCTGTGATCTTCAATGTCCCATAGCTGTCTCAACTTTCCTGGCAGGACAGATAGAGACCCATACTTGAAAGCCTGCCAAGTTTTAGAAAACTATTACACAATGACGTCATTTCCTTCCTCTGAGATTTAAAAAACAAAAAAAAAAAACTTTTTTTTTTAAACCTCAGAGTCAACTTGCTAACCACACATTTTTTGCACTCCACCTTTAAGACAGTCTTTCATCTGGACTTACCTCAATCCCCTTGAACTCTCTTTTTTCATGGTTTCCTTTAAAGTATATTCTCTCAAGAGTTCCTTTTCTGGCTTCTTTCATCTCCTGCCATCAGTCTTTCTCCAGTGTTCCACTCCCTCCATGCTCTCTTCCTTGGCAGTCCTCCTCCTTGTTGTGTGTAAATGTCTATGTGTGGGACTCACACTGATTTTTCCATCCATCTCCCTTCTCCAAGGCTTCCAGATGGAATTTCAAACAGCCTGAATAATGCCATTCAGGCAACAAATGCTTGCTGAGGGCCTAACATGTGGCAAACATGGTGCTAGCTGCTGGGGATAGGAAAAATGAAATAGACACACTTCCTATCTTAGAGGAGCTCACAGTTCAGTGAGAAATAAAGTTCCAATAATTATAAGAGAGAGAGATTCATACTATGTGACAGGCACTTTTCTAAGTGCTCTATAAATATGAATTCATTTAATTCTCACAACAATACTAGGAGGCAGATACTAGTATTATTCCCATTTCATAGATGATATGGTGTGGGGCACCTCACTGGCTCAGTCAGTAGAGCATGCGACTCTTAATCTCAGGGTCGTGAGTTCAAGCCCCACGTTGGGTGTAGAGATTACTTAAATAAATAAATATTGGCACAATAATTTGCCCAAGGTTGCTTAGCTAGTAAATGGCAGAGCAGGATTCAAACCCAGGCAGGTTTGCCCCATTTCCTGGGCTCTTAAGTACTGCACTGCTCTACAGAGTTCTGTTGTTCCTCTGTTGTACTG